ACATTTTTAGTGATTTTGATGCTGTTGTTGAAAACGTCTGATAACAGTTAATAAAATTTTCGTTTAAACAATGAATTGACCAAATTGTGGGATGTTCTAAGAGCCGGTACCGGAAATTTTTTTCCTATAACTTTGCTATTCATTGATCTTTATTAGTTGATATTTCCTGTATGATAGATGACATCACCAAGATTTTATTTCGATAGATAACCTATGAAAGTTCTTCATAGTAATTACCATCAGTCGAGTTGCAATAATTCAGTTGTTATTTCTAATTTCATAATGATATTTCGCAGCGTTTCTTTTTTAATTACTTCGTTTTTAGATTTATTCGTATTTTTAATTTGTTCAAATCTCAAAAACTCACTTCATAGAAATCAGTTTTTATGTGTTCCTACAAAAAGAGATCAAATAATGTAAAATCGTAGGAATTAAAAACGAAACGCTGCAAAATATTAATCTGAAATCAGAAACAATGACTGAATTATTGCACCTCGGCTAGTAATAATTAGTTTAAAGAACACTTTCGCAGACTGTCTATCAAAATAAACCCGTGGTGATGTCAACTACTGTACGAAACATTAGCTGAGAAAGACCAATAAATAATGAAGTTATAAGGAAAAAAATTTCGAGTATCAACTCTAGAACACCCTGTAAATTGGTGTCGACCCTTGAAAAACAGTTACTCAAAGAAAGCTTGTTGTGGTTCTTAAGGGAATATTGGTTTCTGAAATAATATAGCTATTTTTTCTGAATATTTTCTCAAAAAAAAATCTAACTTGATGTGCTTTACATTATTTTGCTATAAATAATCTATGCTATTGAAAATATCAATATTAATTTCTGTTTTCTGAGATATTAGATTCTTGAGTCCTCAAATTTCATTCGCAATATGGGGAGACATACTAGTAAAGTAATGAATATGCTGTAGTTAAAAGATTCTGTCTATATTCGTCGTGTAATGAGAAGCTCAATTTTCGTATTTAAACTAGCTGACTAGTTAGATTGTTCGGTAAAAATATCTTTAAATATTATGATTAACGCAGGGATCGGTCAAAACTAACGAGTGACTAGTAATTATTTCACAAATTTGTAATGAATAGAAAATTACAATTCTTTTAACAAAAATGACAATATTCTTTGTGAAGCGAGACATCTCGCAAAGCTGCGAGTTTATTCTAGAAAGAACATTGTCATATTTGTATGAGTGATTGCATCTGTCCTTCTCGTAGTTGATAACTTTTTCTATAGCTTATTCATCTACTAAAAACTTCAAGGTATTTTTTTAAGTTGACTCAAGCTCTAACAATCTCAGACAACTTATCCTATAGGCGTACTCGTAGAAAATTTTCTTCACTGATACTTTACTTGACGAATAGGTTTTTAAATACTGTTAGTCTAATTCTGAAATAAATCTGACGTTTATATTTTATCTATCTTAAATACAGTGATCATCGTGCCTTGATCGATAACGTAACTTTTCGAGGAAAAAAGACTCACCATTACTAACGATACACTAAGTGCTCTACTTTTTCTTGCATTTTGAAAGATTTACTTCAGACAAGTCGTTTATATGAGTTGAATGTCCTTATTCTCATACACAGAATGAACATATGCATTATTTATATTGACACTTACACTGATTCTAATTATGAAATAAAACTTAAGTCGATAAATGAACTAGGTAACTACCCTTCATACCAAATGAAGCGCAATTGCACAGACGAAAAGGAAAGAACAAGCAAGTTATCGAAGGAGAGAAAATTTTTTTCTTTTCTTCGTAAGCTGGACGAAAATACACGATAGAGCGAAAGAACAGTTATTTCGAAAGGTGGCGTAAGATGAACTAGGCTTTCATTTGATGAAGAGAAGAAGAGATAAAATAAGAAACGACTAATAAATGAAACTTTACGAAACAAATAAAACACGAAGTTATTTTTTTTTCTATAATTCTAAGAAGTAAAATAATAGACATAAGCACACCCATACCCCGTTGCCACTTGCTTATAACACGTGAGCAGTAATAACTGCTGATGGCTAGGAAACAATGTGTAATAGTGGCAGTACTTACTGAGAACGTAATAATAATATAATTTTTCAAAGTTACGACTTGCTTTTCGATAGGCGCAGCAAAAATGAAAAAAATCGTTCAGATGTGTTTTTTTCGGAAAAAACCATAATAGGGCGTTTTTAACGATTTCAGCTAGAATTTTGCAAGATAAACTGTTAAAACGCGTTTCGTATAAAAGTTTCGTCGATAAACACGTTAAAACGCTCTAAACGGCTAAAATATGGGTTTAGACGCGTTTGTGACCATTAAATGTCTGCATGAGTACTTTACCAACATTGCTACCAAATACAAGCATCTCGAAATCCTGTCCAGCTTCATTCAATAATGGTTAGTAAAAAAACACCAAAAGAAATTGATAGCAACTACACTACACGAAGTATGCGAAAGTGACAGAGTGAAACAGAAAAAGACTACTATGTAAATCATTTCATTAATTTCTCATTGTTTCAAGGAAATCTCAATGTACTCTTAACTTTTTCGATTTAGTAGAACTGGCGTTTAACGATCGGCTTTTGAAACCAAAATTTGAGAAAAAGTGGTTGAAAAACGGAAAACGAAATGCACTGACAACATCACTATCACACTCATACAATGTATCAATAGCCCTGACACTCTAATAAAACATGATTTACATTGCATGTTGTGTATAGATGAGTTTGTACAGTTTCGAATAGCAACGAAAGTGTGATTATGGGTACTAGGAACAGGTAATAGTACGTGCTGTTTATAACTGCTCTCAATAAATTAGAACTATCTCAATAGGGGAAGCTCATACAAATTGGTGAAAGTATCGATACTGTTTATTACCTCTTCCAAAACACTCGATCCGTAAATTATTGCTTCAACAATAAGAAAACTTTTTGCAGAAAACTAGAAATAAAACAGGGATGACGACGAAACTACAGCAACCACGAGATGAAAGTCAATAAGACTCTTATGCCGTTTCACTCTTTCGCCTTAAAAAAGAAGAAACAACGGACTTTTATTTGAAACATTTATGTTCTTGTGCAGAAACGTACGCCATGTCTAAAATCAGTGTCTGTGCCGTCGACAGTAGCAAATTGTTTTAGGAAATCGATTAAAGCTGTCTTCATTTAGATTCAGTTTATTTTTCCGCATTATATACGTTGCAGAATTACTTGGACAGTAACGACAATGGGAGAAACGAATTTTGCGAATATCAAAACCTCTAGAAGTCGAGAATAGTTTTTCTACGAACGTTTGCGGAGTCTTATTTATGAGACTAATCTTACAGTCGTGTGTCTACCGTCGAAGGGATGAAGTTTTCTACCTTCTTGTTGCAAAAAATCCGTTTCTGTGGCCTGTTCAAGCCTTACTGGACTCAATAAAAGGGTAGACCCGAGTCTATTCAGACTTCATGGCTCCACCATCTATGATAAGCAGTGCGATTCATTTACACAAAGAGATAAAACAACTTTAGAGGCAGCAGTTTCTAAGAAAAAAACGCGCTTCATAGCTGAACAGACAAAATAATATGTATCATTTAGACTGATTTATTCAATAGTGTGCCATTTCGTTCTTTCAAAGAATATCATCAGACACAAAAATGAACGAAAGAAGTAAATTAGAGAGTTTATAAATAGCAAAAAGCAAAAATTAAGCAACTTTTCTGTTCTGCACTTTATAAACATTCGCATACAACGACGAGAAATATGAATCGTCTACAATGGAATGTTTTTAAAGAACAGAACGAAAAAGTTGTTTACTTTTGATTTTTGTTATTTGTAAACTCCTATTTACTTCTTTCGTTCATTTTCTTTTTGTTTTTGAAGAGATTCTTTGAAAGAATGAAACTGCATACTATTGAATAAATTAGTCAAAATAATGGATAATCTAATATCCCTTTTATTTTCCAATCATTGTTTAAAACGAAATAAGTTTGCGTTTTTGTATTGATCTTGTCAAGAGAACTTGTTTTCTTATATTGATGTGTTGAAATCTGCTCAGTGATGCCTCATTGTGAAACTCGTATTAGTGATGCGTTGATTTCTTTTGCTCTCTTTATTAACAACGTATTCGATGTGCTGTCGGTTTTTTCTCATTTGCTTCGCAGCTGTCTCAGTAACTTTTCGCTTTTTTGACCTCATTCTCTGCCAATAGACAGGTTTTAATTTGAAAAAAAAACTATGAAAAAGAGTCGAAACAATTGGTACACATAAGCATTGCTGTCTAATTCCTGGTTGCTTCATCGATTTTTCTACATATGGTAGGAAATACAAAAAAAAAGAGAGGATATGACTCTATTTTGATTCTAAACAGGTATCATAGTGCTTCGAGTTTTTAGCATATTGCAACGAAGCAAATTACTTTCTGTGTGCTGATGTAATGTATCTCGAAGAAAAATAATATTATTGACCTGATCAGAGTTTATAAACGTTGCTCCCGTGTTGAATACAGGAACAAGATTCGATTTGTTATCCATGTTTTAGTTTTCTCTCTGTCAAACCGGACATAAATCAACAAGCGAAGAACATTTGTTCATAAGTAATCACTCTCAGACTTCCACCCCTTTTTTTTATTTTGAATAAGTTCTTAGCATATCGCAGCCTTTTTCATAATCCACAGGAGTTGGTCGAGAAAAAACTTTGAATTTAAGAACACGAGATAGTTGAGGATCTGAAATCCGTTCGAAAAAATACCTTTAACGCATGTTTTATCCTTTAAGTTGAGCATCGCTCTTATATAATTTAGAGCGAAACTGATATTGACACATTTATTCTAAGCTTGAACGTTGTTTTGACGTATAGAATCTCGTTGTTCTCCATGTTGAAACAATGATCTTTTTCGAATGGATTTATCAATGAAAATTGTCTCATTGTTACAAGCCCTATACAGGAATTATTTTGTATGAATGAGAATGAAAATTGTAGATAAAATTACGTATCAGATCTGAAATCATCGAATCAAAATGTCAACATCACTTGCTGAATCTCTTGCATTTATTGCTCAAGAAATGTGCATTTATTTTGGTATTCCTCTACTCATTGTCGGTACACTTGGGGGACTTCTCAATGTCATTGTATTTCTAAGTCTTCGAACGTTTCGACAAAGTTCATGTGCATTCTACTTAACAATCATGTCAATTGTCAATGTTGGTCAGTTAATAACAGGCCTCTTAGCTCGTATAATGATCACCGGCTTTGGTATTGATTGGACACAAACTTCATTAATCTTCTGTAAATTACGATATTTTCTTTTTCCAATTGCTGCATTAATCTCATTTACAAGTATTACATTGGCGACAATTGATCAATACTTTGCAACTTGTTTTCGTCCTCGCTGGCAACAATGGAGTAATATTCAAGTGGCTCATCGTCTAACGGCAGTATCTAGTATCATATGGATTCTACATGGAATTCCATATTTGATCTTTTTCAATCAAAATCTTTCGCCTACTACAGGCAAAGCCACTTGTGCATCTCAAAACAATATCTTTTTACAATATCGTACTTATTTTGTCACTCTTGTCCTTACAGGTGTTCTTCCTGTTATCATTACAATCTTGTTCGGATTCTTGGCATATTATAATGT